TCTTGTGAATAGATCAGAGAAAATTTGATCACACTGGCCATACAAGACAGGCGACACATCATTAATTATTCAAGTTTCTACTAAACATGAAGCGCCCTTTAAACTGATGAATGAATTAGCAAACAATTTTAAACTTTAAGCACAAAAATCATTATGAAATTCAGGAAGCCTGTGGTTAACATTTTATAATTTTCATTCTAACCCCGCCGAGACGTTAATGAAATCAGTTCAATAATTCAACAACAGGTACTTAGTTTTCTTTGCACAGTTTCCACTCACAGTTTTGGACTCGACAATTGCCTCGCATTTGAATGTTATAGAAAGTAAAACCCAGCCTTCGTTACTTCAAAAATAAAGTACCACAAAATGGTTAATCTAAAAACCGCTAATTTAGCTAAAAAAAAAAAGCTACTGGTAGTTAAAATCTTTCAGGTGTCACTTATGCAAATAAAACTGCTTTCGAAGCTCGAGGTGAGTCAAACTATTAAACATTTATAGATTTAAACAGGACTGGATATCACCTGAATTTTATTTTTCGTTTCAAAAAACGCGTTTATTCTCCGGGAAGTATAAATTTAGCAGATCTTAAGACCGTTGTATATTTCTTTAATTCTTTTACAGGGACATGACAATGCGAGTTAAATGATAATTCATGTAAAAAAAAAAAAAAAAAGAAGCAGAGTGTGTTTGAAAAATGAAATTGCGGTTATGTTAATGTGCATATTTTTTTTCCTTTCCAATCGATCTACCTGCAAAAAATTAAAGATACAAGATACTAGCCGTCATCACGAAAAGATAATTTTTTAACCAGGTTTAGAAAAAAACTTTTTGTCGAAGTGTGTATGATGGCTAGTGATTATAAATACTGACAAAAATCAGAATGCAGCCTAATGGTAAACTCGCTATTTGTCTGTTAATCCTTTTGCCATTGAATTGCGCTATGCTAGTCAAACAGTTGAATCCGACACCACATCGGTTAAAACACGTTTGCTTACAGGTAAATAGGGACTCATGTTGGGTTCGTGAAGTCGAAGATTCGATGATATGGAAACTGAGTTAATAAGTTCAATATCCTTGCACTGGGTTTCCTCTCCGTATGACGGCGTTCAGATATCTAAAGCGAGTCGTCGATTTTGTCTCAAGGTGTTGTCATGAGTTCAATGAGAACCAATGTGATTTGCTGACAGAGACGCTGTGATGGTCACGTGTCATGTTTGTGGCATGTTGCACATTTTTTTATAAATATGGACATCAAGTTTAGCATAGAGGTCGTCTTGCTATGAAAATCCGACCGACTTGAAAGTCAGTAGAATGATCAACAGTTTTTGGCAAGGAAGTTATATATGCACATGAGTGCGCGTGTGACATTTGGAAAACAAATGTCACCTCTTTGAAAGGGAATGCAGATTCCGGAATATTAATCCTGGAAATTTTTGCTTCTGGAATCCGGAATCCTGGACTTTGGAATCCGGAATACAGTTCAAGGAATCTGGAATCCCTCTTACGATGGAATCCGGAATCCAAATTCTACTGACAAACCGTCCGGAATCCAATATCTGGAATCCAGAATCCAAGACTGTTTTGGAATTCCTAATACCCGGTGCGACAAATGGGACAAGTTGTCTACGTCTGTTAAATACGGATATTAGCTAGGGACCTCACGATCCGATAACGGCGACTTCCGTGAAAACCTTACTGGAAAATAGGCTCCGAATCCTTTCAAACCATTTCGCGATTATCCCAAGTCGCCCAGTTACTTAAAAGAAGGGAATTCATGTTGGAGCTGAAGAGAGGGGGCCGCACTCGAGTTCAGACAGAGACGGTAGAATTCAACGCTTTGCCGTTCCCGTCCTCAAAAACACTTAAAATTTGGCCATTTCACGTCGTAGTCGTGCAGGGACGGCAAAGAAATGTACAAAAAAAGCGTGATTGCTTTCTGATATTGCCGTTGCCGTCGCCGTCGTAGCTTCGTATAAGGTCCCTTTTACGCAGTGACGACGGGAAGCTTCGACGACGGTTTTGAGTTACTGATTACTTTTCTCTTCTTTGAGTTACTGATCCCTTCTTGAATGAAAATGCCTGTAAGATAACACGATCACGTAACTATTTGCCCCTCACAAGTTAAATGTCAGTAAATATTGTTCAAAATGCCAATTTATTACAGGCTATTACAAACGCCTTTTCGTCATGTAATCACACCTGGCTACCGTACGAAATTTCCCTCTCCAAACACTGTTCTTAGCAAAGTCATGGCTACCCTGCGGGCAGACGTTTCTTTTTTTGCATCGCTTTTAGCATTTACGAAGTCTTTCGAAGGGCTTGTCAGTCGCGTAGTTGAGTAAAAAACTCGCACAGTTATCATTATATAATATTATGATTCAGAGTGGGCTAACTTTAACTATGCTTCCCGGCCGTATGTATTCTCACCGATGGTTCAACTATCTTCCTCGCCTTAGAAACTATATAATATGCTAATTCACAAAAATGATGTCGCATTCTTAATTTTTAATGACCTACCGTAAACAGGTTGTTAAATAAATTTCAAATATAGCCTCAATTCTGCTTTACCTACAACTTTTCGCCTACTAATTGGCAGCAATTTAGCTAGGGTATTTTTGTTCGGTATGCAATATGATTACAGACTTTAAAGAGTTTTACTCGATAGAGAAATTAAAAAGACTCATTGTTTATCTTTTTTATATAGACTGAGTTCCATAGTCCTCAACTCCTGACTTCAATGACTGTTGATGGCTAACGACACATTTCTCAAGACGAACAACTCTTTGCCCTAGAAGTTTTTTTTGTCTCGTAACTGCTACTACCTTCTACACGAAAGGGTGTTGACTGAATAAAATTATTTGGAATTCATGCTAAATTTGGAAAGCCACATCTGCTTACGATGCTTGACATCGTACAAAAAATTACAGAGTAAACAGCTGTTCTCTGTGTTTCGCCTCTTATAGCAACAGAGAAATTACTGTGGAATCCTCAAGTTAAGTTATGGCAGCCTTAGTAAATACTTAATTAATGGACGCTTAATGCTGAAACTCTTTTTTAGCTATAGGCTGCCTGATACATTCGGCTTAGTTCAGCCCAGCTAATAAAACTCCAACGAACTTCAGGTTAAGCCATTGTCTATACCAAGTTCTATAAAGAAGTCATCCGGTGTATGCTGTACAAGGTTAATAAGTGGAATGGCGATTTAAACCATTTGAGTACATGGACAAAGATAAGATATTGAAGTATTAAGTCGTGAACGTTCTAGGTCTCTGAACAAAAGGTAAGCCAGATATGACTCTCGGAATGAGAGGAATAAAATGAACATTCTCGGGCTTCAAACTGGAAACTAGATTAACTTCTTTAACATAAATACAAGAAAGATAAGTGAAACCGATCGAGCTTTCAGCAGAACACACAATTACATCGACGATGTTGTCATGGGAAAACTGTACTGAAATGTTTTCCGTCAAAGGCGCAGAAAATCTATTGTCAACATTCTATTCCTAAGTAAATGCTTATAATATAAATTTAAATTATTTAATTTGTGGATATGTTTCTTCCGGCACAACTGATGTATGAAATAGATCGAGTCTCTTAGTTTCATGAACTGAAAACAATTTTAATTTAAGGGTTGATAAGCGTGCTAATCTAATTTATCAATTTCCGCCGAGTTTAAATAGTAATATATAAATAAGTGTTGTAAAAGAAAGAAGTTTTGGATGCTAACATAAAAATTGCGGAACCCCTTGAGAAAATCGAGTTCCCCCGCTGTGATTATCATTATGAAAACTAAGCAATTAACAGATAATTCGATTGGTTAGAAACAATTCAACATCTTTGAATTGACTTTGGGTCATGAAAGTTAGATTCAAAATAGGTCTAACGAATTACTTTTCATTCCCTGCTGGTAGTAATTGGTTTTAAGATTAAATTTGAATTGACGAAAAAACTCTCGAACTTCCTGAATAATATAACAAATAAAAACCTATTAACTTCACAAGACCTATAAAGCTTACGCAGGCTCAAAAGTGCACATTCTCATTGGTTGATAAGCAGTTTTTACTGAATTATAACCGTAAGTGGGGCAGTAAATGAGAGCTATATAAGCAAGTGCCGATGTTTCCTTCTTTTCAAACTTACAGTGCACAGGAGCGCCGCGATCACGAAGGCGGGGCTCCCAAGGCAAGGTGGCGCATTGCACTCTGGGCCACTGACCCTTGCGTTCACTCCAGGCCGAGTGAGTCGGGTGCTGAATTTTTGTTTGATATCGGGGTGACTTGCGTACTCGCTTGAAAACCCCATAATAAGAAAAGAAAAACAAAATTAGGACTTCCAAGTCAGCATTACATTAATTCGCAAACAACGAACTTAAATCAAACAGTACTTCAGGGTGAAGCTGCAGAGAGATGTATTCGCTGAAGCAGTACAGTTTATATCTTAGAGAGGCGTTTGGTGATTTCAGTATTGTTTCTTTTTTATGGCTTTAGTAAACACAGGTGCATGGTTTCAAGGTCTTAAATCTAATGGCCTACAAAGGGACAGTGGCAATAAAAGAATTATGAAGGAATACCCACAAACATACGAGCTCCTTCTAAATTATGATGAGACTAAACCACAAATCATCTGGCGTGAACTGTCTCAGTCATCGGCACTGGAGCTGTTCTAATTATGCTACCAAGGTAACGTCACGATACCATAACGTAAAGATGTTAGTCCTAAGACTAATATCTATCTATGAACAATGCAGCATTGGTAGGTTTTTTAAAAAGAAAACAGTTCACTTACTCATTTTTGTTTTACAATCAATCGTAGTATATGGTTGGTCTGTCATCACATGATAGTGAATATATCGAACCTGACTGCTGTCTGCAATTCCTTTCTTAGAGTCCAAAGAATTACAACAATTCGTTTCATTTTCTCGGAGACAAGTTCTTTGTAGTAACTATTGGCCACGATGGGTAGTACCTCAACATTCGTTCCACAGCGGGCGTGTTAAAAACTCAACACTTTTCGTTTAAAAGTTTCAAAATATACTTTACAAACATCTGCGCTTTAACACCATTTTCTTCCAGCATCATTGATCCCATTACATTTTGTCGTGGGTTAAAAAACGATGGAACAAACTGATTCGAAAGCCAATCATTACATTTCATGAATATGTCCTTAACTATTTCTGGGTCAGGTTCTTCACTCAACGCAACATCAGAAGCACTTTCTGACCGTTGAGTATGTTGCTCGAATTCACGAAAGACAGTTTCCACTCCATCCTTCGTTGCTTTTTCTTCTATGGAGTAGAAGAGGGCCATTTTTAGTATATATGATGGCAACATACCTTCGACGTTTTCAAACAGAATAGGGTCGTCATCGGAAGGCAAACTGTCATGTTCACTTGCGTACTGCATCTTCGCGTCTCTGTACTCCTCAAAGCTAACAAGAGGACAAATAGCAGAGCTGATCAGCGACTTGGCTGCTATGTAGCTATTTCGAATTCGATGTAGACATCTTTTCATAATAGCAGTCTCAACAAGACACAGAGAACATCTCCAAAGTCTGTCATCTTGTTGACTCGTCAGTTTCGGAACAGCGAGACAGGGAAGCTGTAAAAGATCTGGAACAAGGAGTGGAGACTGGATTCGAAAATTGTCTGGCCAAGAAGGAAGGCGCACTGCGGGGACAAAATCAACTTCGATTGCCAGAGTTTTATATCTCGATCCTTTCCACAAAAGGGAGAACTTGGGGTCATTGGTGACGTCCTTTATTACCAAACGTTCATCTTTTGGGAAGCTTTCATCGAAAACGATATTGAATAGTCGCTGTGCGAATAGATTAAACATCATGTAATTTGAAATCGCTTTCGGTTCCAGGTCCCGTGTAAACTCTGAGTACTCGTAGCTTGTGTGATCTTTCAGAAAGATTTGAGTGTAATTTGACACTGATGATGAAGTTTCTTCATAATCTACCCCCTTCTCTAATACCTCCTTTACTTTTTCATTTGCTTCTCTATCTGGAACAAGTTGAACACTTTCGCGAACGTCCTCGGTTTCATGTTCTGGATAAATATTTTCACTCAGTTCATCGAGGCAGACAACATAGTCAAACTCATCTGGATATTTTGTCTTGGTTCCTTCTGACGAACTACCTGCGTGATACAGAGTACAACGCATTTTTGGATGATTGTCTGCTATACGTTTTACCACATTTGTCGCAAATCTGTCTAAAACATTCCGGATTTCTCCCGCTTCGGGATCTTCAAAAACTGTCCCTATTCCCGGTGTGGAAATTAAGCAGTTTAAATATTCACTCAAAGTGCCCGACATGTGTAACGATTCCTCGCTAGGATTGATGATGTCTTGAAAAGTTTCAAGCTGCAACAACTCGCTGCCGTGTTTTGCTAACAGTTTCTTTCGTTGTTCCAATTCAAGCTCATAACTTCCGTCTTTTTCATGCATTATCTGCAGAAAATCGAGACTGGACCAAAATTTCGGCAGCTCTTCCGCTGTTTGTTCACATGCATCGCGGAGTTCAACATCACATCCTGCTTTGATTAAAACATCTGCAACAGAAGCCTTGTTGCTCCACGCTGCAAAATGGAGTGGTGTGGACTGATATCTGTCTTGTGCGTTGATATTTGCCCCTAGTTTGGTTAGAGAATTGCACATGACGTCAGACCCCCTCTCCGCTGCAATATGTAATGGTCGTCTGCCTACGGAATCTTTCACGTTCACGTCTACTCCACGTTCAACCAAAGCTTTAAAAAGTTCCTTCTTGTCTTTCTCGATAGCATGATGCAAGACTGTCTGTCCCCACATATCAGGACAATTGATATCAAGTTCCTTGTCCAATAAGAAGTTTAAAATATCAGTGACGTCATGTCCATCTCGGTCTACAATACAGTGCAGTAAACTGCGTTTTCGACCGTCTTCAGTGGTGGGTACACATCCTTTTTGTACAAGGTATTCCAAAACTTGCAATGGCGCTCCCGCAGGTATTGCTAAATGCAGGACGGTTTGACCAATGGCATCCTTGGAATTAGCCGCACTATCATGAATGACTAGAAGGTCGATGTATTCTAAGAACAACTTGTTATCATCTTCTGAATATGGTCTGTTCTTCTCGACGAGATGATGAATTGGATTCATTCCCTGCAGATCTACATCTGTTACAGATGCTCCAGCTTTTATCAAAATGTTCACTGTTTGTACTTTCTCGAGGTAATAATTCATGACAGCCAAATGTAATGGAGACCTGCCCTGGGAATCTTTCGAATTTACATTCGCTCCCATTTCAATCAGTTTTTGAGTTAGTTTTTCGTCGTGTGGCTTTTCCATAAATGATGAACAGAGTGTGTGAAGTGGAGTCTCTCCCTTGGCATTGGTACATAGAACATCGGCACCAACTGACAAGAAAAATTCTACAAGCTCGTGTTTGCCTTTCCTTATTGCTGTGTGTAATGGAGAGTCTCCAAATTCATCACGGCCATTCAGGTTAGCCTTAGCTTGAAACAGTAATTGGGCAGACTTTAAATCTCGGACAACGTGCAAAAGGCTATGTTTTCCAACGACGTGCGCACCATTTTGTAATAAGATTTCAATAACTTCCGCGTGCCCTCCATCTACAGCATGATAAAGAGCTGTGAACCTATCACTGTCCTCTTCGTTGACGTCACCTCCGTTGTTGATCAAGTCAATGATCTCAGCCTCATTTCCTTCACTGGCTAAGCGATGGAGGGTGGGAGAAACTGAGAAGGAATCAGCCTGAAACATTTGCTCCATGAATTGGCCCAGTTGTGCAAATGGTTTGTAAGTACCGGTTACTCTGCTGTCACCCATAACCTAGAAAAAATTGTTACCATTATCAAGGGAAATCTTGGCTGAAAAGCCGTTTACGCTTTAAAGTAAACCTAATGGTTCTCTTGAACTGGTCCTGAGGTTTAAAGTCAATATCTCTGTAAGTGGTTTGAATACAAAGTGTTCGGTTTTCAGTTTAAATCACTTGGGCATTGCCATGTTTACTTTACGGTAATCTATGACGTCATTGCGCGGTCAAATATTTCAATATTGAGTCTAATTTGGTAATTTGAAATCCTAAAAGAGCAGAAACGAAACGCCCAGCATTCAAAGCATGCAAAGAATTATCGACTTGAAACTAATGAAACGATTTAACACATGCAAACACCAACTTGCAGTTTGGAACTGTTTTTTTTAGCCAAGATTCCCTTTAACATGGCGTGCAAAATAAATGGCACAAAATCAAAGAATGGCGATTTTTTTAGGTTATTGGCGTTCCTAAAATTTCACTATTTTAAACCTACATATATTAATTTATGATGAAAATTACCAATTTTGCATCCAATGACAATTATGGTGACAGACCAAGGCCTGATTATGGTATACCATGAATAACCATGTAAGTAAATGAAAAGTGTGCTTTATGAAGTAAAAGCTATGAACAAATTATTTTACTGAAACTCAGAGGCGGTAGAGCCGGCAATGCCATAGCACCCTCAATTTACAAAGGTAGAGTGAGTATACATTCAACTTCACATTTTGTGATGAAGAGGGTATAATTAGCCACGCATACATGGGAAACGTAAACAAGAAAACAAACACAAAAGAGTTTAATGACCTATGAAGCGTCTATTTTAGGTCTTCTGACTGAAAATTGTATCAAAGTACACTGCTGACTGAAGAGAAAGAGAATGTTTTCGGATGAAACGGAGATGGAACGTTGTGATCAACACCCATCCCCCTTCCCCATTGATCATACTACTCACCTGCCTCAGAAACTGCAATACAACAAAGAACAAACAAGCTTTGGTGTATTTTATGTCATACTTTACGTGTTTATGAACTCACTATGAATATAAAAATAAACAAATTATATGTGATAAATAGTCACGGTGAAAAGATGCCTGGCAGCCCGGAACGATCTTAAATAGACCGCAATCAGAAATTTTTGCACATTTTCAATGTTCGATGCAAGTCTTACTCAAACCTCTTGAGAGTATTCTATGTTTGTTTGGAAATGCTAAGGGATTCCAAAAATAATTTTAATAATACTTCTAGTAATAATAAGACCTTTATTTAAGTGTCAAGCTGAAATAGCAGTACAAACCACATAACATTTGGGTGATGACTTTAAAATAATTATTAATCGGGTTCAACAGTTTAATGAGAAGATTACTGGTCAGGGATAATAATAATTTTTACCTATTAAGCTCTCCTTACACTCGCAGCTGCTTTTTTGTCCTGGCCTGGCTTTTCTTACCACTGTTCTGTTGTGTGTTTCCCTTCCCTTGCTGCTGACCTTTCCCACTTTTAAATTGCTTAGCTGTTTGGGCCTAAACATACGACAAAACAATTATTCATTAACATACATGAAATAATAAAAGAATATCACACTTCACAACAAACTGGGCATCAAGGAGTTGACATGCTAAGGCCCTGCTTTTAAGGTGCATTCGATTGGCCGGATCCTATCCAATTTTTAATTGATGTGTTCTGCATTTTTAAGCACCTTAAAATTTAAAGATGTGTTTAATGTTGTATAATTTAGCAAGTGTAGGCTACTCAGGTCTTGTAAAGCTTTGCAAAAACACGTCATTTTGAATGACTATTCCACTTATTCCTATTGCAGAATACAGCCAATTGAAAGAACCATTAAATTAAATGTAAACGAGAGAAACTGGTTTTTCAAGAGATTAACAAGTTATATTCAATTGAGTGTCACAGAAAACAACCGATCTTAAGTAGTCAGACAAATACAGGTGTGCAGGTGTGCAAGGTGTGGAAGTTTGAGTGCAAAATTTTAAAGACATTTTCAAAAACTCATTAACAATTCATGAAGGAAATACTAAAGAAATTTTAAAACTTTTTGAGTGTTTTTAAATCTGACAAAATCATGACTGAAACTGGATTCTACTTTTTCAAGGAAAACTTGCCAGAATCTCAAGATAACAGCAGAATTGGATAGATTTAATGTGAAATTTTTGAAGCTGTTAAAAAAACTTGCAGTTCAAGGTTTATCAGGTTATTGGCTTCACCTCATGTTTTCATTAAAACCAGATAAAACACTATTGTTTGTTTATTAACCATTGCTTTATTATGATTTTCATGAATTTACATGTACATTGTAAAAGGTAAATTAAACATTACATGTTGCTACCTGGGATACAAATCAGACCACTCCATGATAACATTAAAATTATCACAGTGACTGCACTTGAATTCTAGAGGACTGGGACTAAAAACATCTTTTTTGGCTGAAATAAACTATGTTAACCAAATCAAGGCAACTATTCAGAAAGCAAGGGATGAATAAAGAGAAGACAACTTGCTCAACCCCTCACTTCTTTGGGAAATTATTAAACTCAAAGCGCATGAGAAATCAATATGCTATTCCAAGATTAGAAGGCAACAAACAAAACAATGTGACACAGTGCTAGAACAAACAATCACCAAATTAAAGGAGGAACTCCACAAAAGAATTCTCAGTGAAGCTCAATTTTCACACCTCACAGAAGAAATCAATGAACGAAAGTTTGAGCTTGAGAAAATAATAAAGATCGCACAAAAGGCGCAATCCTGAGATCTAAAACCAAGTGGTACAATAAAGGAGAGAATAATACTAAATACTTTCTAAGTCTAGAGAAACAGCACTATAAACAGAGCCATTAACCCAAATTAATGTTAGTGACCACGCTTTTGTTACCTCAGACAAAGATATTCTAACTGATTGTACATCTTTTTATAACAAGCTTTATGAATCCAACGGCACGGCAAGCAGGTCACTTGACATGTTAGATTTTGAAAGGACGGCTTATTATATTGAAAACGAGTGCCTAGAGGCACTGAAAACTATGGAATCGGATAAAACTCCAGGTATGGATGGCTTACCAGTGGAATTCTATAAAGTCTTTTGCAACATCATATCAAACACCCTAATCAACACGTTGTGACTATATTTGTGGCCAAGGCAACTGTTAATTGCTTAAACATTTTTCCCCTAATCTAATCGTTGCCATTTTTGTCGATAAAATCTATAATGAGCTGAGAATCTTGTGATTGTCGACTTTTATCGACACATTTAACTTGTCGATTGACAATAGACCTTGTCACGGTTTTCGACGCCATCTTGACAAGTAGGCAAACGCGTGAGAAATTACAGTGTTTGTATGAGAATCTAAAGTCGGATAATTTCCGTAAAACGGCTGTTCTGAAAAAAATATCAATTGTAAACTAAAGCTACAATGCAAAGGATTGTCCTAAAAAATTTTTGGGGGTGTACCTGTGCTTAAATTTCTCCAGAGGCTTGCTTTACATTTTCCATATATTTGTCTGTAATTTTCCCGGGACTTTCTTACAGACAAATGTATAGGAAATTTAAAAAGCGGTTCTAGGTCTTCTAGTGAACGTAACGCCCTCAAATTTTTTCAGTAGAATCTTTAGGAGTGAAGCTTTGGTTTAAAAATCATATTTTTTTCAGAACAGTCGTTTTACAGAAATTATTCGAAATTAGATTCTCATACAAACACTGTAATTTCTCACGCGTTTGCCTACTCGTCAAGATGGCGTCGAAAACCGTGACAAGGTCTATTATGGACAGATATTGAGTTGTATCTACTTATCGACAACGTCTTCGATGATCGATTACGCCCTGAGAGTGGAGAGAAGATTCAGTGGGTCTAGATTTCACAGATAGTATCACGGATAATTTGAACTCATGGTACACGTACAAACGCAATATTAATCAACATACTAAATTACCATTCTAACTCATCCTTTTTCTAACTAAATACCTTATCTTGCTTCGCTGTTTGCATCCGCCATTTGCGCCTTCGGGTAAGTACTTCATGTATCCCTTATTGTACACGATACATGAAGTACCTACGCGCTTTCGTTCGAAGTGACCGCTGACCGAAAAAAAGCCGAGTCCAGTCCTAGACGTCCCAATCACAAGACGAGCGGTTCTATCCTGGTCACTGAGTGGCCCTGAGTGGGGCTGAATGACAAAACAAAAGTTTAACATCAATTTCTGCAAACTTTGGACACTTTTCTCGATATCGAGCCTAGCCTTTTCACTGCTACCCTTTTCGTCCAATTGTACTGAGAACTGTTATTGCGCAAACTCCTACACTATCGACACTTTCGCGCGTGCGTATAAGTGAAAAGGGTCTCGCCATTTCCGAGTTACCCCGGGCCTGTGTATCAAAACGAGGTTAAGTGTTCAACCTTTGATTTAAAAATGATTTTTCATTCTCATGCAAATAAAACTCATTCAAGAAAGCTTTTGCGCTTGGCCTCATTTTAAACGTGAGGGATTTTGGAACTCGGAAGGGGCCTATTTCCTCAAAGCGCATGCTCAAAAAGTTTTATTCTTCACAGCAACATTTCTACTCTACTGCTTACGTTTCTGATTTCGAGCCTGGAGTCAAAATTCTTACGGCAACAGTCGATTGAGGAAATCGGTTATGTTTCACTGTTAGGCGATCATTGGTCTTTTAATTTAGGTTTGTTGAGGTCATTGTTAACTGTATGACTTAAGTCATCTCACAAAAAGATGGCCTCCTCCTCGAAATTCAATATAGTGGATTTGTGATGTCATGTGATTATTAAGGTCGCGGTCAATTGGGCTCATAAAAGATGAGCTCATAATTTAAGTTATTATTCATTTAAAATACTTCTCCGTTTCTGCATGGCTAAAATACCACGCATATTTCATGATAACCAGCTGATGTGCAATTTATTCCAACAAAGTTGTTACTTATTGCTGCTTCCGGGAAGTTAGCTATATAGTGTTTTCTCAACAAATCTGGCCCTTTTTTAAGTGC